TATGCATTATTTCGTATGCACAGTTTCCATATGCACAATTTCAGGGTGCCGCTTGGTAGCGGCAGAGCTGACATACGAATTCAAACATACAAACGTATCTACGTACATATGTAGGTACTCGTACGCATGCGCGTTGAAGATGTTTGTGTTATCGCTTTGTATAGCCGTATTTCTTTTTATTATTATTATTACCTCATTTTTATTAGCTCGGGATGTAAGTATGCAATTAGTCTGTTCCAATAGCAGTCCGGTTTACAGGATTTAGTCAGAACTTACAGGAAGTCGTTCCTATTGACATAAAACCTGTAAGTGGGAACACATTTGAGAGAGTAACTGAGCAACTGTTCCTAGTCAGAAGTTACAGGATTNTTTTTTTCATATGCATTATTTCGGTTTTCAAACGAAAGAGTGCATATGCATAATTTCGGTTTTTCTAATATGCATTATTGCGGTTTTCAACCGAAACTGTGCATATATGCATTATTTCGGTTTTTTCGTATGCATTATTACGAATTCAAACATACAAACGTATCTACGTACATATGTAGGTACTCGTACGCATGCGCGTTGAAGATGTTTGTGTTATCGCTTTGTATAGCCGTATTTCTTTTTATTATTATTATTACCTCATTTTTATTAGCTCGGGATGTAAGTATGCAATTAGTCTGTTCCAATAGCAGTCCGGTTTACAGGATTTAGTCAGAACTTACAGGAAGTCGTTCCTATTGACATAAAACCTGTAAGTGGGAACACATTTGAGAGAGTAACTGAGCAACTGTTCCTAGTCAGAAGTTACAGGATTTAGTCCGGAGTTTTTTTTCCTGTAAGTTCATGAAAAGTGTCAAACGATCAGCTGATTTACATGTGCAAACAAAAACAGAAAGCGGTGAAAGCAAAGAACCTTATATTTGTTAAAAAATGGAAGTAAACAACGAAATATTTGAATATGTATAGATTTTAATAATTATTTAGTGATATTTCAGCCAAATCAGTGTTGTACCAATGACATGTAAACAAACCGACTGACGTTTTTACAGGAAATAGTGATTTTTGCGTTCCTATGCACTTCTGCATCTGTTCTCCTTTTACTCTCATTTGAGAGCGTAAAATTGTAGTTTGACAGTTCCACAGGTTTTAGTCCGAAGTTCAAAGGAACAGACTAAATATTGATGGGCCTAAAAGATGCAGCGATTTCTATTCTCAAGTTACATACCTGATGACAGTGCGAATGGAAATTATAGTTTTGATCCAATACTTTTCGTGTAAAATCCTGTAAAAATGTCAAACAGCAAAATTACTCTCTGAAGTGAGAGTAAACAGTAAGTAACAACAAAAAGTAAGGGAACAAAAATAGCATTAGTAAAAACGTCAACCAGTGATCGCTTGACACTTTTCACGATTTTACCAGAAGAAAAAGTTCGGGTAAAATCTTGCAACTTCATTCTCTACACAACTCTCCAAAAATCACTCTCATTTACAGGATTTTGGAGGAATTTGGAGTACGGGATCTTTTTTCCTGTAACTTCCTGCAAGTTCATGTAAAAACCTGTAAGTTCATGGAGTACTGGATCAGAGCTTATAATAGCGAGGTTTTAGTTTTTTAAACCATAATTTTTTCCCTTTCTCTATACTATATCTTCCTCTTACTCATGTAATATTTTCAGTTTTAAAAATCTCACTCTCCATTTCTGCGATACCGCCGCCTAAGAAGTTTCACTTCAAAAATAACAATTCGGCTGGCAGCCACGGTTTTGAAAACAGAATTTTGTTCAAAAATAATAATTAATTTTTTTTATATCCACATATTTAGCTCGCTATAAGTACAAATTTTTCAAAGCAGTCGCAGAAGAAAGTATTGAAAATGAATTATAAAAACTAAAATCGAAAAGTGCTGATAAAGTTACAGGTTCTCCAAATTCTGAAACAACATGACATATGTATCTGGTTTGGTTTGTAAGCGCTGTTTAAACAACGATCTCGCCATTATGCTAGATTCGAATTTGTTTTTTTTTTGTAATACTTGACATCCGCATTCGCATCCGCATCCGCGGATGTCTAAAATTCCACATCCGCAACATCCCTAATCCAAACATTGATACGTCTTGGAAGTCAACCAAACTGTTTATATATGTAGAGTTGCGAAACATTGTAACCATATACATTAAATATTTTAAATATTTAATATAACAATGATCACCCCTTCGGAATTTTAATTTTTAAATCCTCCGTTATAACCAGAAAAAAACGAAAGCATCGACTTTGTTTCTGACGCTCTGATTACTCAACGATGCGTTTCGATAACTTTTCGAATGCGTTTTGGAAAAGTATACATTGTCAACATTTTGTAGTTTTGCGTTATGGAACACTATATTTTGTGCAAAGCAATTGGCGTTTTGGAAGTCTGCCAATCAAAGAATCACTGACAATTTCTTACATTAAGTTAAGTTAAGTCTAGACTATCTGAGCTTTAAAAATTTGCTGGCGGTTACAATAAAGTTTTATAAAACATTACAGGCTATAGTGATGGTGCCGACAGGGTACAGCGGATTGGTCCACAATATTGATCAGAAAAAGGAACAATTTCATGGGGAATTTAATGGAGATGCCAAACCAACCTATGCCTTGGAACACTTGGCGACTTTTAAAGTGCAGCATGAATCTGATATACGAAAGCCCAAGGATAAATTAAAAGTTCTGAAGGATTTGGATAGATCAGGAGCCATTTGGCCACAGAAAATGTACATGTCATATAGCAGACAATGGTTGGTAATTTTAGATTACGAAATGAAAGAGATAGAAAATTTTCCTGGATCCCTTATAAAGGAACCGATGGCATTCATCAGCGAAGATCCTTTAGAGGTCTTTAATAACATATTAGTTTTCACAGTACCAGGCGTTTCTCTGGGAACAACGGAAATGCACTTTTTTCAGGTAAAAGGCTATTTAATTATTACATTATACACACATATACATAGTATCACTTTCCAAGCGATTACTTAATAAAATTTTGCATATTTTCCTCCGTTTTTTGAACAAATCTACAATCCAGTAGTGCAAATTTAGCTGTTTCTCCACAGCTTTATGGTTATTCTGAGCTAATTGGTAGAAAATTAGGCTAAAAATATTCTTAGGGATTTTCTAAAGTATTTTTTTCAGATAACATTTTTTTGTAGCACACAATTGGTCCAATACAGCGAATTTCTAATAAAAAATTTTGAACAGATTGTTTTTCGTGATTGGGATAAAGAAAAATTTGTGTGCATTCAGACGATTGGGACACGGTTTTGGTGCGTGAGATACTGCCTTAACCCTTTCGAACCGGCATTCAGCAGGTTAAGTAAATATAATTTAACTAGTTTCTACTAATTAAGTTGCCGATAATTAGATGATTTGCATTCAAATATTTTTAATTTGTAGCATGGGGGCTGTGGGAGGGCTGGTACAACATTGTACCATCAGTACTATTGTGTGGTACAGCATGTGTACCAACAATCCTCACTTACAAATAACAATAAAAAGTTTTCATATCATTTTTTTAACATTTATTGGCAAAAAATAAAAGTTTTGCAAAAAATAATATTCATTTCCAGGAAAAACGTTTTCAAAATATACATAAAATTCTTAAGTTTCGAAAAATATGTATGAATTTAATTTATTTTTTAGTGTAATATTTGGCACATCCTGCACAGTGGTATATTACATTGCTCGCAAATTCGCTTTTTTCTGGTTTGTGTTTTGTCCTGGGCACATTTTGCGCAAAGTCTTCGAGTTTCAATTGGAATTGGTAAATGCAAAGAGACGTTGCCCAGTTCCATCCGTCGTTGCGACAGTCGTTGTACCATCAGTACTATTGTGTGGTACAGCATGTGTACCAATAGTCCTCAACTTACAAATAACAATAAGAAGTTTTCATATCAATTTTTTTATCATTTATTGGCAAAAAATAAAAGTTTTGCAAAAAATAATATTCATTTCCAGGAAAAACGTTTTCAAAATATACATAAAATTCTTATGTTTCGAAAAATATGTATGAATTTAATTTATTTTTTAGTGTAATATTTGGCACACCCTGCACAGTGGTATATTACATTGCTCGCAAATTTGCTTTGTTCTGGTTTGTGTTTTGTCCTGGGCACATTTTGCGCAACGTCTTCGAGTTTCAATTGGAATTGGTAAATGCAAAGAGACGTTGCCCAGTTCCCTCTGTCGTTGTGATAAATGGCCTGCTGTTTGGGATCTGCGTACGGCTGCAGTTTTAATACCGTCAGATACATAGTGTTACCATGAACTCAATAAAGGAAGTTGTGTCTCTTCGGAGGTCGCAATAAATTATCCAAACATTCACAGCAGAAAACATTATAAGCCGGTAAAAAACTTTTTTCCACCATTTCGTTGACTTGCGATCATAGTCATAAATGCCTGCCATTTGATCGGCGCGATCTATTCCACCCATTGCTTCACTGTAAAAGTTTATAGAGTATGGACATGGTACAGTTATTTTTCGCCCATCTTTTAATGTTTTACTGACTGTTGTCACTGTTGGCTTATGACAATTGCTAAGTACTAAAACTTCCTTTGTATCCTGCCATTTAACGCAAAGAAGGCCAGATGAGTTGACCCTGAACGAAGACTCAAATTTCTCGTTTATGTGTGGTAGATTTTTTCTATTTTTCATGCATGTTCCTAAGGCTGAGAACTCTAAGGTCTCAAGTAGATTTACAGTAGTAAAGAATCTATCGAAACATAGCGTCACATCACGTTCTTTAATTGAACTAACTAAGGCTTTAACCACACGTTCGTCTAAAGTTCCATCGCATTGATTTTGTTCTCTTCCGTTGTATATATTGAAATCATATGTGTACCCTGTCTCAGAGTCGCATCGCAGCCACATTTTTATTCCACGTTTTACTGGCATGTATTGTTTTAAGGATGATCTTTCCTTAAACTTCGTCATTGATTCATTCATACTCTGCCTAATACTATCCTGCCGGTATTTTTGAAATGTACCTTTCAAACACTCCACAACATCGTCGATGTAATAAGTTTTACTGCAATCAGTTGGTTTCTGAGGAGATGCAAAATATTATTTTGATGCCAAAAATTTATAGCGGTCGCGAGGTATTGCAGTCTTGATAGGCGTGTTACTCATAGAAGGAGGGTTTGACCAATAATGTTTCAACGCCGGAAGCTTGTTATAAGACATAACAAACATACAGCCCAGCATAATTTGCTTTAGTATATTTGGTCGTTTTTTGGCGGCTCGAAATTCAGAAATGCGGTCATTTGTACATTTGTGCGATATACATGCACAGGCTTCGAGGGAACATCCTTTGAAAAATTTCCAATGGTGAAGATGTACGAGGGATTTCTTGATTTATATTAAACCCACGATAAAAAAAGGTATAAAATTTTCTTCAGAAGAAGACCACAACCTAAAGTCTGATGAGATGTGATTCTCATTATCATCTTGTGCTTGATTGAATCATTCTAATTCATGCGGTGCAACTATGCTTTCAACATCTGACAGTTCACTATTGGACGATGAAGAGGAACCAGGTTCTTCGCCGTGCAAACCCAATTCCGGCTCATAATTATTATCACTTGACATGGTATTCCTTTATAAAAAAAAGACGAGAGGACACTTAGTTATTGAAGAGAGGGACTGCTGGTATATATATGTACCAGTATAAATGGCTACTGGTACGTATAAATACCAGCTTATTTAAACTTCACAAACACAAGCAAATCCACAAAACTGTGTCATTAAATATACTTACACTTGTAAATATGATAAATATCTTCGATTTTAATACTTCTGTTGGCACTTTACACTTTGTTTTTAAAGATTATTAGTCAAAAACCAAACACGTGACCGCACCCTTCGTTGTTTAAGTCAAAACTGAGCGTACAACGCACGAGAAAATGAATTCGTTTTTATATGTACCGTTAGACAAACTAAAAAGCCTGCTTTGTTACATTTTTTATTCTGTTCTAATGTGGTTTCTTGGATTTAGTCCATTTTAAACATTTAGTGGTACATACCGTGTACCAGCAGATTCGAAAGGGTTAAGGCGGATTAAAGTAAAAAGGGAAAATTTCGGTCAGTATTGTATTACATGTTTGTATGTACATATATATGTAATGAATATACCCTGAGAAAATTTGACTAGCTCAGAACTAGCGTAGAACTAGATCTTTTGCCAACAGTACTAGTTCTAGCTCAATACCCAAGCAATGCTTTCAACTGTCCAGTTTTACACTGCGATGTCATTGGCAATCGTCGCCCAGTGCATTACTTTGCAACTAGTTTTTAACCGGCTCCATTTTGGAAAGTTTCTTTTTATAACACTGCTCGAAGTTACGATTGTTTCATTTTCTTGTTGTATATTTTTAATTGAAAGAAACTGTTGATATTTTCATTTGATACATCGAAAATATCGATGTTTTTATACGATCCTTCGATATGTATCGATGCTATATTTCGATGCATCAAATCGAAAAAAACTTTGATGTATTTTTTTGACTTGCATTCCTAATCAATATTAACTTCTCATTATCAGCAACAAAAATATTTCGTGTGAAGAGATACTTGCCATCTTTTAAATTCTGTCCAACAAAGTCTTGTGACGTAGGGCGTTCATTTTCAATACAAATGTGTATGTACAAAAACTTTTTATGCGATACTCGAAAAAAGTTTCGTTAAATTAAATCTTAATAATATAAATTTTTGGGGCATATCGTATATCAAGCATTTTTTTATTGTTTTGAGTCGTTTTAATGATCATAAAATTAGGCTTTTCGTGCATATTTTTGGCTTCCCTACTTATCACCATTCTTGGAGACGTTAGTTACACTTAAATCCTGTAAAAATTAAAAAAAAATTAATTAATTGATTCAGCGTATCTTAAATGTCTCTGTGTACCTTGTGTGCAAACTCCAGCTTCTGCAGACAGTTTCTAAAATTTTTAATATTAGCATTTTTGCTTATATTGTCCTATGGTATTTCTAATTCGATTGATTATAACCATTTCCTTGTTTCGACTAAATTTTTAGTCCATATTGAATTACACTGGAAGTCGAATCAGTTGCATTTCAAAATCTTCGATTTCTAGCCAATCAATTTTAAAAAAGTGGAGTTTATCAATTGAAGTCACATCAGGATATATAATAAATTTGAATGTTTCCGATAACTTCTTGAATTCAGAAAACCACGATGAAAATTCGTAGAAGAGCGAATTTATTACCAAAGATCCAAATCTGATTTTAAATTTGTTAAGTTTGGCAAAAATTTGTAATTTTTGGATACAATGCAGTAAATTCGTAGTCAAAATAAAGACGACTCTAAAGTTAGTTGCAGCTTTTTGAAATAATTATCAATGTAATGTATGCCAAAAAGGCTGCTACTAAATTGAGAGTCGACTTAATTTTCACTTATTATATGCATCACTACTGTCAGTTTAGCATAAAAATCTCGAACGAGATCTATGCATCATAATTATAACAGGTCTATTAGAGCCTTAAACTTTACGTTAAAATCATTAAAATGCTGGCATATACTCGTAAAAATCACCAATTTTGCGACGAAGCCATGCGGTGAGCACAAAGCTTATTGATGAATTATGCAATATAACTCAAAATCGAATTTTTTATGTGGATTTTGTTGGTTACTGTCCTTATTTTTGGCTCTTATGACCTGTTTTTTTGGGTGTGAGTAGATCTTGCTTTGATGTCCAATTTAAATGAAAAAAGAAATTGTGTCAATTAGATAGTAAACACTACTACTAGTAATTGGTGAATTTAGTCATCAATTAATACCGTGCCCAAATTATTTTGTTGCGTGTCTACGGTTCGCCAGCCCTGGCATACGGCATTGATTGTATTGGGAACAAATCTTCGTTAACTACATTAGACACGCTTACATACGGTAGTGA